TTCTATTATTCTCATAACATTCATCATCAAATGACACTGTTTTGTTTACTTTCTTTATATCTGTCTCTGTCCATTAGAATTAAGCATACCCAAGGAAGCAGTTTGTGTTTTCCTTTAGTATGGAGAACAGTGGCTGGCATCTAGCATTCATTCAGAAAACATTAGTTAAAAGCATGGCTGCCTGACTGGTTCTTGTCCAATCATTAGTTTCTTGGTGTTGATCTGGTTCCTTCAACTCTACATGGCATTGCATAACATCAGTGTTCTGAACCACATTCTACATTTGAATTACCTTTGAGTGGCACATTTGATTTTGTAGTGTCATGTTACATTTGACAAAATTGTGAAGGCTATACTCACACTCATTCATATAAGTAGAAATCTTCATATTTTACTTTCACTAAATATATGAAATCTCAGTATCTTCAGTGGCAATTAAAGGCTACTAAAGAGTTCAAATACTGGAATAAGGAATTATTGCTACAAAGAAAGGTGCATAGTATTTACTTTTTTCAAGTATAGTGGTGGTTTCTTAATAAAAGTTTTTGAATTTATTAAGAACTTGTTTTGGTTTGGCTTTTATATATCCTAGGATACTGTCTGCTTAGCTGCAGACACAGACACATTTTCTCTTAGTATATTTAAAGTGACATCTTTGATAGCTGCCACAGGGTCACTCAAAGCAGAACAGAAGAGTGCCTTATGCTACAGCTTGGTCCCTTGTTGAAACATTTCATAGCAGGCATGCTTCTCAGCAAATGTCTAGATGTGCAAATTAGAATGTGGTCTACTTTTTATAACAGTTTTAACACATACCATCTGTCTTTATAAGGTTTTTTTTTCCTTCATTAGCTGCCAGTCAATTGGATGTAATAAATTCTCCCTGCAAATATTATTCATCAGCAGTACTTGAGTGGAGTTTAAATCAACAGGTGAACAGCTCACTTTTAAAAATATAAATGGAATTTAAAAGGAATCGTGACTTTCTAGAACATAATAGTCAGAATATATTTTATGGTTTATCATTGATCTTGTGGATTCTACAAACAAACTATACTCGTTTTGATAATTCAACTATTGTAGTTTTATAAAATATTGATCTTCACTAAGTAATAATTTAAAATATATAGAGGAAGGTGGTTTGTATATATTTTTGTCAATCATTTGTGTCATTGTTTAGAGTCTGTAAGTAAATTTAGATATTAGTTAAAATTCACTGTATGTTTTATTTGTAATATTTTTCAAAAACTTATTTTTTTCTCTGAGGATCATAATGAAGAATTATTAACTTAAAAAATAATGTTTCCTTACCTATATTGACTTCAAGCTAATGACCCACAAAATCAACAATCTCACTCTTGCCATTTTACTTGCATTCTAGCCATATTTTTACAACAAACTACAAGACATTGAAAATTAAATTACTCCCTCCCATGCCACATTTTCCAAATTATATTTATTTTCTTTTTCTTAAAATGGACTCTTCTACACACTCTTCTTATTTCTTCACGTGGTTTTATTATTGTTTTAGTCTCCTGAGCTTAAAAATAGACTTCTGCTTTCCCCTTTATTTTTGCCTCTTTTCCCATAGCAAAGAAGTCCAATTAAATCTTCTCCACAGTGTCTTAGGTTTGTGTCCCTTCCTTACCAATCTTTTGTTGCCCATTGCAATAAAGACCCAGATTACCTCATAAAACTCCTATGTTGCTTTCCCAGTTTATTACTTGAATAAACATCACATTGCATTGAGCAGACATAACATTACTCCCTTCCTCAAACATCTATCATTTAACCTGATCCCATTTATCTTTAGCCAGCCTTGGTACCTTATCTATTTTTTTTTTTTTCTTTTAATCATAGCTCACTGCAGCTTCAAACTCTGTGGCTGAAGTGATCTTCCCAACACAGCCTCCTGTGTACCTGGGACTACAGATGTGCACCACTATACCCAGCTAATTAAAAAAATAATTATAGAGATAGGGTCTCGGTATTTTGCCTAGGCCAGTCTTGATTTCTGGGCCTCAAACAATCCTCCTGCCTCCGCCTCTCAAATTGCTGAGATTACAAATGTGAGCCACCATGCCTGGCCTCTTATTTATTTTTAGTATAAACTCTCCACCTCAGCTTCATTTGAGATCCTTACTATCATCTCTTCCCCTCTGTCTTTGTATAACTACCTCACTGCTTGGGGCTCTAGTCCTGATCCTAAATATCAGTTTGCTCTGGACTTCCACAGTTTTGTCCTTGAAAGTTTGTGTTCCAAGAAACTCTTCAGTTACAGGAAAATGGACATAGTTGTTATCTCTACCTACTTCTCTAATTTAATAAACAGATTTTTATAAATTAGATCTACTATGTTGTAGGCACTTTGCTAAATGCTAGGAATATCTGACTGAATGAAAGATATTCTCTGTTCTCCAGTAGTTTAGAATCCATAGGTGAGGTATGCAATTACAATATGATACAATACATTGCAATATAGTAGGTTCAAGGGCACCTAGCTAGCCATGGGATTTAGAAAAAGATTCCTAGTAGAAAGAATGCAGGACAATGGATAGAAGCCAGGTGTAGTGTGGAGTTGTTTTTGGAAGGGATAATTTCTGGTTATATGAAAAGTTTATACAAGGGCTAGAAGATTAAATGAAATGTTTATTCTAGAACTTCAAGTAGTTTTGTCTGTTTGCAGTATATTAGAAGAGGGATGGAAATAAAGGAGTGGTGAAAGATGTGTTCCAAAAAGATGTCATGTTAGAAAGACAGACAGTAATTGCCTGGCCATGAGATTTGGAATTTACCTAGGGACAAATAGCAATCCTTTGCTAAGTTGTGAGTAGAGAAGTAACATAATGAGATTTAGAAAGGTCAGTTTGCACAACATGGATTAGTAATGGTGAAGCAGTAAATAATAAGACAGGAAGATGAAAGACCTAGGAAGCTATTACAGTATTTATTCTCAGAGCTAGCCTTTTTTCAGATATCCTTCCATTTGAAATATTCCCCCAATATCTTCACTGCACTTTCCCAAATTTGCCTGTTGGACGAGTCTTATAAAGTCAGACTTTCTTCAGTCATTTTCTAGCCCTCATTGATCTCTTGCTTTTGTGATTGTTCTATCAATGACCATCATCTTTTCATTTAACAGTTACCCTCTAATTTCTCTTACAAAGTATTCTAGTCTCCCAGAGTTGCCAATTACTTGAAGACACAGATTATCTTTTACTCACCTTACTCAAGACTATTCACACAAAAAATGGTTTAAAAAAAAAACCCAAAACCTTAAACTTGGGCTTTTTGATTATATTTCAAACGTTCAGTGCAAAAATATTAATGCCATTCATTCACAAAGCTTGTTTTATATTATATATTATTTCAAATATTGTGGTACCTCAATTTTAATTAGTAAAGTTCCTATGAAGAGAAAATGACACTTCAAAAATAATTGGCTGCTTAACTGTAGCTTCCTACTTCCAGCTTATACTTTCTCTCCTAAAGTTCCAATAATAGAAAAGGTAGATGATATCTTAAGATTGGAAACTGAACATATGCCTTCCTCCTCCTACTTGTAAAACATGTACATACTTTCTCTTCGGTCTCCTCTTTCTTTCAAACTCTCTCTTTCCTATGAATGGAATGGAATGTCGTGACTGGAAAGAAAAGTACTTGTGTAAATTAGAGAGAATGTGCTGCCTGTGACAGGATTTGACCAGCCTTTACCTGCTCTATCATTCATTCAACAACTGTCTGATGCCAGGGAGCTCTCTAAGCAAGTTCAAGTTCATATGTTCATATTCATATGTTCACTTTTATTATCCTAAGTATGTATAATAACATCTACATAGCTGGATTGTAGTGAAAACTAAAATTGGACCACATAGTTGGTACCCCATATGTAACTAGTTATAATAATAATGATTATGATTAACCTGCATTATGAAAACTAGATTCATTTGGAAAAGTTGCGGATTATGACTTTTCAGGTTGTCCTATCTTTATTCAAGAAGGGCAACAATCATCAATGGACTGTCACCAGGATTTTGGAGAAAAGTGCAATGTGGAATTTAAAGGGATTTAAAACTCTTTCAGTTCCCTTTCTGAACCATTTCGTCTTATTCTTATCTATTTCACATATACTCAGTGTTTTCATGTTGCTCTTTGACTAAGTTCATCTTCTCTTTGATAAATGTATTATTTTATTCCCTAAATTTATTTCTCCCACCTCTACCTAAATTGGAATTCTTTTTTCCTATTGCTGCATAGCAATATACAATAGCAAGATAAGAAATAATAATTACCGTAAAGAATAAATAGAAATGTCTTTCTCTTTTTTGTAAGGAAAATATGTATTTTGAAAGTGGAACTTGATAATGTATATGAATTGCTAATTCCTATATAAGTTCTAGAAGAGAAGTGTCCTAGAGTTGTTAAATCTCTGTTTTCATTATTCTTTTTCATATATTCCAGTTGACTTATGTCCCTATTATTAAAATGAATTTTTTAGCCAATAATTATAACAGTAATTTTTGTATGCTTTATGCATGATTTAAACATTTTCTTCTTGGTTCAAATAACATATTTCATAATGTTTATTTTTTTTAATAACAGGAAGTGTTTTTCTTGTTTCTCTACTTCATTATAAAAATTCACCATGGTGGTCTGTGTTCATATTTCCTTGAACAGATTCCTCTTTACTTGAATTCTAAGAATTTGCTTTTTGTATATAGTTCACAGTTTACCCGTTTAACTCTTAAATTTATGAAGTATACCTGTTAGGTACGGTTTTTCTTTTCATGTGGTTAGAAATTTTTAAATGATCTGTTATCTTTTTTAAATGTAAGGGGGTGGGAAGCAGTGAAGGGTCAGAAATTTCCACAGCTTAGAATTTCAGACTTTAGAATACTATTATGAATTATGGTAAAATATGTTTCTTCTTTTTCACACAATCATACTTTAGCAAGGTGAATACAATGACATATTTCCAAAGACTGTTTCTTTTTACACAGGTGATCAAGTAGTCTGGACTGGTTACTATGGCTTAGTGTATAACCTGGTGAAAATGTCATGGGAACTTCAAGGAGATGAAGAACAGAATGGACTTAGAAACATGATATGGCAAACATTGCAGAAAACAAAGGATTATGAGGAAGATGTACGAATTCAAAATGCAATCAATATAGCTCAGGTAAGGTAAAACACTGGGCAATAAATATGTACATGTATCATCAGGAAGCATGGTTGTCATTTCTCTCAACGGTAAAAATGTCTACATTCAGTGAGTATTAGCAACTCACAGCTGATAATATTTTTAAAACTTAACACTGATCTATTTTTGATTGAAGGTAAGAGACTTGAGCTCTAGATGGTAGTGTAAAGTCCTCCAAAAGTCTGTAATAGAAAAAGAATTAAATTCATTTAACACATCTAGGGAAAAGTACACCTCAGCAAGGGTGATTCCACCACAGAACTCTAACTTGGTGGGAAATTCTGATAGACATATTAGGTACTCTAGATTGAAGTAACATTAAGTCATGATTCTTTTTCTCTTTTCTTGGTGAAGACATTTAGAAAGTAATGGAAGTTTTAAGGAGCATAACACAATCCTCTAATTTGAGGGTTATGTTAGGATGGGCTATGAAAGAGCTGTGTAGAGGCGCTTTCACTACCTCATACCAAGGGGTGCCAAAAGAGGCAGGCTGTGGGTAAGGTTCAAATAGGAGGGGCAAGGGGCTTTTTATGATGTTAGGAATCCAGAGACCTATTCTCTCACTTGAGCAGTTCCTCCCTTGTTTAGTTCAGTGAGCAGAAATAACAGGAAGAAGGCTGAACACAGTGATATCATGACACTGGACTAGAGGAAAGGGTAAAGGTGGCCCTAACCTCAGTGATTTCAACACAGATAGGAAATGAATAGGTAAAAGTAAACAAAAGTAGAAAGTAAAAGCCACTGGCTCTAAGATTCTTCCCTCTTTTCTCAGCCTGTTTGACTACTGTATTTTTAGAGGCTTGTTGAATGGCTTTGATCAAAATGCTGATAGTGATATGGACAATAAAGTCCAAGCTGAGGTGATCTCAGATGAAGATAAGGAATTTGTTTGGAACTAAAGTAAAGGTCACTCTCGCTATGCAACAAGGCTGGCAGCATTTTGCCCTTGCTCTAGAAAGTGGAACTTTGAACTTAAGAGGGATAATTTAGGGTATCTAGTAGAAGAAATTTCTAAGTGACAAAATGTTCAAGAGAAATCAAAGCATAAGTTTGAAAAATTTGCAGCATGGCAATGCAGTAAATAAGAAAAACCCATTTTTTGGGGGAAGAAATTTAAGCCTACAGCAGAAATTTGATAAGTAACAAGGAGCTAGATGCCAATGACCAAGACAAAGGGGAAAATGTCTCCAGGGCATATCAGAGATATTCCCAGCAGCCCCTCCCATCACAGTCCTGGAGGCCTAGGAGGGGAAAATGGGCTGGGTGCAGGACCCCCTTGTTTGGTGCCCTGGATCCCAGCCACTCTAACCATGTCTAAAAGAGGCCAAGGTACAGCTCAGAATGTGGCTTCAGAGGGTACAAGCCCCATGCCTTGGCAGCTTTCACATGGTGTTGGTCCTGTGCATGTGCAGAAAACAAGAATTGAGGTTTGAGAACCTCTGCCTGGATTTCAGAGGACATATGGAAATGTCTGATGTCCAGATAAAAGTTTGCTGCAAGGGCAGAACCCTCACGGAGAGCCTCTACACGGGCAGTGTAAAAGAAAATGTACGGCTGGAGTCCGCGCACAGAGTTCCCACTGGAGCATTGCCTAGTGGAGCTGTGAGAAGACAGTCACTGTCCTCCAGACCCCAGAATGGTAGATCCCCCAACAGCTTGCATTCAATACCAGCCCATGAAAGCAGCCAAGAGCAGGGCTGTCCCCTGCAAAGCCACAGGGGCACAGCTGCCCAAGGCTGTGGGAGCCCACCTCTTGAATCAACATGACCTGGATGTGAGACATGGAGTCAAAAGAGATAATTTCTGAACTTCACGGTTTATTGATTGTCCTGTTAGATTTTAAACTTGCATAGAGCCTATGGCCCCTTTGTTTTGGTCAATTTCTCCCATTTGGAATGGGTATATTTACCCAGTGCCTGTATTCCCCTTGTATCTAGGAAGTAACTAACTTGCTTTTGATTTTATAGGCTCATAGGTGGAAGAAACTTGCCTTGTTTTAGATGAGACTTTGGACTTGTAGAGATCAGGTGGCCACTTATTCTCATTGCCTGAAGAGAAAATACCAAGCAAGTTTTTCGCCACCTATTTTGGAAACATAAAGCCATTAGTGAAATCGCTAAACCATATCTACTCCATTAGTGTTGTAAACTTTTTAAAAGTTTGCTGTCTCATAGTTACATGAAGATTGGTAGCTTGCCTCAGTTAATTCTAGAATGAGATAAAATCTTGGGGGACTGTTGGAAGGGTATGATTGTGTTTTGAAATGTGAGGACATGAGATTTGGAGGGGCTAGGGGTGGAATGATATGGTTTGGCTCTGTCCCCAGCCAAATCTCTCTTGAATTTTATCTACCATAATCCGCACGTGTCCAGGGAGGAACATAGTGGGAGATAATTGAATCATGGGTGTTTTTTATCCATGTTGTTCTTGCTATAGTGAATAAGCCTCACAAGATCTGATGGTTTTATAAAGGCCAGCTCCGCTGCACATGCTTTCTTGCCTGCCAACATGTAAGCTGTGCCTTTGCTCCTTTTTTGCCTTCTGCCATGATTGTGAGGCCTCTGCAGCTATGTGGAACTGTGAGACCATTAAACTTCTATTTCTTTATAAATTACCCTATCTCAGCTATTTCATAACAGTATGAAAATAGGCTAATACAGTAAATATTAGGAAGAAATTAATCTATTTGTAAGCACTAGCCATTGTTTTGTGTGATAGCAATACAGTTTTAAACAAGCAGATAAATATTATTTTAAAAATAATTTAAAGTTTGGATCAAGGAGACTGACAATAAACTTGCAAATTAAATGAATTAAAAGAAAATATCAAATAGTGCTATCTATACTATTGTTGCTGGGTTTTGGGGTGCAGGAGAGTGCTCAGCTCCCCTGAGAGGACGTTTTTCCAGGCTTTTGGTCTCTCACCCAAGAATGGGAGAGGGACCGCGTTGGGTGCACTCATAAGAAAATATTAGACCCCAAAAGAGTTTTGTTTGTTTGTTTGTTTGTTTGTTTTTGCAGAAAAGTGATTTATTTAGGCAGAAAAAGGGAAAAAGGAAAGAGAAAATGAGAGAGAGAGAAAACTTCCACAAGAGTGTGGAAGGGGACCCAAGTATGGAATCCAGGAGGAGAAAAGCAGCTTCCAAGAGAGTAGAAGGGGAACCCCAGAGGGGGAAATCCGCCTGGATGAGAGACAGGGACTTTTAAAATGGAAGGAATTCCCACCTTCTCCACGTCCCCTGGCCAATGAAAAGAGTTCCTTTAAACTTCCACTGGAATTATTGACTTTGATTATTTTCCCATGCCCACGAGAAGATTTAAACAAAGACCATTAAGTCTCCCGGATGGAGAGAGGGGAGGGGGGCATTGGGAAGTTCTTGCCCTTGAAACTACGCCCTCTTGTGGACTCGGAAAGAGAATACATCCCCTCACTATGAAGAAAACAAAATAGAGAAAAGCTATTGGAATGGGATCAGCAAGAGTAGGGAGTGGTTGCTTCAGCAGGAGTGGTCAGAGATGGGTTTCCAATGAGGCATTATTTGAAAAGAGAGCTAAATAATGAGAAGGAAATATCTATAAAAATATACTCTGGTAAAGAGTTTATGCATACAAAAATGTATTCTGCAAAGACTCTAAGAGCATTAGTTTGGTGTGTTAAGAGAGCAAAAAGACCAATATGCGCTGTCCTCTGGTAAGGGAAGGAAAGAGTGGTAAGATTTGCAGGTGGGTAAGGAGAGTTGTTTGAAGATGGCAATAGTAGCACATAAGTAGTAAGCTCTGGGGAATAAAATAGTAAGCTCTGCAAAAAACATAAGAAAAAGTTTAAGTGGGAAGTACATTTAGAAAAATAAAAGCAGACTATAAAAAGCATAGAACTGATCAATCTTAAAATTGTTTCCACAGGTAAAATAAAAGCAACATATAAACTATTTTAGACTAGCTAATATAATGGAAAAATGAGGAAAACTTTTATTAATCACAAAATTCAGAAGGGTAAAGGGAATGTGATTATAAGAAAGTAATTGTAAAATGATTATAAAAGGACCAATTTACAACTATATGTGAAAATATAGTGCAATAAATGATTTTCCAAAGAAATACAAATGATGAAAATTGACTGAAAAGGATATAAAAATTTTAACAAAGATTTGGAGAAATTTGCAGGTTACCTACTAGATTTGTTCATATGAATATCATACACAAGACTAAGATATTCATCAGTATTGCTAATATGTGACATTGTTATTGACATACTAACCTGTGTGTTGGGTCATAACTGGAGGATGTTTAAACCGAGTTTGTCATACCAAAGCAGTAGGTTAGAGTGGCTAAACACTTGGGAACAGAGAATAAAATAATTCAGTTTAAATTCCAGCCCCACATAATCTCTTTATACAGATGCGACTCGGATGAGACATGGAGCAAGTTATTTCTCAGCCTTAGTTTTCTTATTTTTGAAAAATGTATGCCAAGGGGTACTTCTTTTTTTTTCCATGATAACATAAATATTTTATTTAAAATACTATATTTTCTAAAGAAAACAGAAAAGGGGTACTGAGCATTTTTGCAAGTCTTCACATATATATGTGTGTATATATATATATATATATAAAATTGTACTTTAGTTTTGGGGTACCTGTGTAGATCATGTAGGTTTGTTGCATAGGTACATACATGGCAATGTGGTTTGCTGCCTCCATCCCCATCACCTATATCGGGCACTTCTCCCCATGTTATCTCTCCCCAACCTCCCTACCTCCTGCTGTCCCTCCCCTAGTCCCCTCCAACAGACCCTGGTGTGTGATGCTCCCCTCCCTGTGTCCATGTGTTCTCATTGTTCAACACCTGCCTATGAGTGAGAATATGCTGTGTTTGATTTTCTGTTCTTGTGTCAATTTGCTAAGAATGATGGTTTCCAGCTTTATCCATATCCCTGCAAAGGACATGAACTCATTGTTTTTTTATGGCTGCATAGTATTC